AAACTTCCCCACCTAACACAAAGGAAGCTACCTTTTATGCAGGAAGATGGGAAGACCACTCTATACAGAGGTGGAATGTTCTATCACCACCCAAAGGACTGTAGACGTGGCTGGTAAGCACAAACAGGGAACTCAATGTCTGACTGCTTTCCTATCATATAGGGCAGTGTTTCTTAAACTTTTTAAGATGGAGAAACACCAAACAATATTTTTTTTTTAAATGGGGAACACCAAGGATTTTTTGTTGAACCAAAAAAAAAAAAAAAAAAAGCCTGCCCTTTTATGGGCGGCCAGTTGGAACTCTGTTGTTCTCCACAGCACACCTCTGACTGCCAGTGTGCCATGGAGCACAGTTTAAGAAACAGAGGTATAAGGACAGCTTTTGTTGCAACCAAATTCCAGATGGAAGATCCTTAGGCCAGGTCTACACTACGGGGTAAGTTTGAATTAAGATATGCAGCTCCAAGTATATTACTTGCACAGCTGGAGTTGAAGTATCTGGATTCAAGCTTTGGCACCATGCGCACAGTGGGAGGTTGGCGGGAGAAACGTTCTATCAACTTCTCTTACTCCTCGTGAATACAAGTACCGGCGCTGACAGGGGTGCCCTCAGCATTCCATGTAGTGAATTCTTACTAGGCCTGCTAAACTGAATGCCAGAATATCAACCTCGGAAGCGTCAATCCATCAGCGAGTATAGAAGCAGCCTTAAAGTTTAGGATGAAAAGCACTTTATAATCTAAGACGTTTTGGAAACTATACAGGCAGGACTCACTTATCCTCTCTCCTGCCCCACATGTAGCAACAAGAAGAGTATCTAGTTCACGGCTCTGACCCCTTTTCAGCTATCACTAGTATACCGAGCACTTTAGGAGCCAAAAAAAGTTCGGAAGAAGGAGAGTGTCAAGTTGAGAAGATGGTTTCATTTCCATATTCTGGTTTTGTTCCCTTCTATCCCCCACTTCCTAGGGCTAGGGTGGGCAAACTCAGGCCTGTGGGCCTCCAAGCATTTCTCTCCGGCCCACCCAGCTGATTAGCAGAGGTGTTTAATTACAGCCAGTGCAGCGTGTTCAGCTGCCCCTCCTCGCACCTTGCTGCGTCCTGTCGCGGAGCTGCTTCTAGGAGCCTCCTGCTAGCTGTGCAGGTGGGAGGAGGGGAGAGCTGATGTCAGGCTGTTTCCCTACCCCATACCTCAGCTCTGCAGAATGAGACACACAGCAGAGCAGCTCCAATCTGAAGCATGTGACTCAGAGAAGTGCAGAACAGGAGGGGGAGGGATGAGATGACAGAGCAGGACGGATTTCCCTTAGAGACAAAGCGGCTTCTCTCAGAAACTTAGCCAGCACATGCACTGTGTGTCACCATCTCACACACCTAGTCCATGCCACACGGACTCGGTGCCACACACACACACACACACACAGTCCCCCAGTCTCTGCGCCACACACAATCTGTGTCACAAAGACTGTCTCCTGCACTCACACTCAGCACGTACCAAAATTTGGGAAGTGGCTCCCCTGCAAAAATGATTGCCCTCTCCTATTCTAGGGTATTAGTTATGAAAATACAGCTGGGAAACGTACCTCATTAACTGAATTAAAAGATGGCACCAAAACAAATATAAATACAAGTCTTGTTTGTACATCTCTTAGTAGAAATGAGGAAGGAAACAAACCACACAACAGGAAACAATGACCTACTGTGAACTGTGATTCTGGATGTTAGAATAACTGTTGATCCAATCTTTGTCAGTTTCAAAGTCAGGCTTTAGATTATGTGTCTCTTGTTCATGCTCCCTACATAACTTACACATTAAGTTACAGCTCCAAAATAAACTCTGATCCAATTTTTTGGCTGAGGGCCAGCACATTCATCTGAGGCTTTTTTTTTTTTAAACATGTTTGTTGATTGAAACTGGGTTCTGTGATTAACAGGTTTCATGCTAGCAGTGAGGGCCAGCTGATGTGTCAGCAGTTTGGTCAAGCAGAGAGAACATTCTCTCCATCCTCCACTTGTTTATATTGGGCACACAGAGAGGTTTCACAAGCTCATTCCGAGCAGCAAGAAGTGATTTAGGATACCTCCCACCTACACTGCTATTGAATGTAATCGCTCCATCTCCAACTGACTCATTTACACGCAAGCAGGAGGCCTGCTCCTAATATTCTTAGGCATACTCAGATTGAGGGGGGCAAGCAACCGAAAAAGTAACAGCATAGTTGGCTCTGAATGCCGTGTTCAGTTCTGGGAACCACATGCCCCCCCCAAAAATTTATAACTATGGGTCATTTAGGTAAGCATCAATTAAGGGTGTGAACATTTTTGGAATGTGCACATGCTAAAAGAGAAAAACTATTTAGCAGAATTAAAGAGGGATATAACTACGGGAAAAGACGTGAAAGCCCAACAGTGAAATCTCAGTCTGAGGAACTGGTTTCTAAAGGTCGTAGAGGAAACATCATTATTTACAGCATTTAGAACTAGACTGAACATTCACTAGTGTTTTGAGCAAGAGGGAACAATCCTCCACTTGCCTGAGGAAGGTGGACTGGACAGCCTAACACAAGCATTTTCTCTATTTAGATTCCACGACCACAGCCAATACAACTCACTGACCCACAGAGCACTAACACCTCAGTTTGACAGCTTGCTGTCTGCTAGGAAGGTACTGGGACTGGAATTGCAGAGGTGGGGAAAGCTTGCACAATGACTGCTTATGAACACCAGCAGCAGAACTCTGCTGCAGGCAGAACCAAACCTGGGACCGCTGGAGCTTACTGTATAAACCTCTCCGGCATTGGGCTTAAAGCCAGCTGGCTATTCGCTAAGGCTGTAGAGCAGACTCATTATTCTGTCTAAGTGGTCTCAGTGCCACCAGAGGGAGCAGAGCAATCACAGCCAGAAGGTGTGTGGGTTACACTTATATTATGCTTTGCACTAAACAGCGCTCTTAACCTCTTCTCAGGACTGGAAAGTGTAGGAACATTGCAGGTAGCCTTGAGATGCACTGCTAGAGACACCTTAAAGAATTAATATTTGTCAACAGGATGTTACATGATCAACACTTCACGTTAAAGGACCAGTCACAGCTTAAAAATGAAGTTTTACATCCTTGTAACACCTAAGATTGCTTTAAAAGGAACAGGGTAGGGGGAAGGAATGTGCCTCCCTAGTTATCAGAATGAATTTTGTGCACTTCCAGCACTACCCACAGTTTCCCGTTTGACTCTTTCATATAACAGGCAAAAGTAGTTAGAAAGAGTAACTGTAAAAAGCACAACAGCTGGGCATGGACGTTCAGGAACACACAAAGGTCCTGAGACTACTTCCAACTCATCATTTAAAAGTGATGAGATTTCACATTGATGGTATCCCTTTAAACACTAAAGCATGTTAGCAGTTTTACTGGAAGATGCTATTAAAATGCGGGCAGAACATCAGGCGATCATGAACTGTACTGCTCGTATCACAAGCAAGACACCAGGAGCGCCTAAGTGTCTCTGAATGCAGAGACAACCGCTCTCAGGAGACAGGGCTGAGTCCACATAGGATCTCCATGATACTGACAGCCAAGCCTTGGCTCCAATTGTCACAAGTCACATGAACCTAGTCTGATCGTGCCTAACAACTACATGGAACCAGACCTTGGCTTGTTCCCTACTGTAAGCTTATCCCCTTAATGCTTTTGATGGCTGAACCATGGCAGATAAAGAGGGCCATATTGTAAAGACTATGGGGAAGTGCATGGATCCAAGCCTCTGTACATGATGCTCAGACTGCGCTACCCAGTTACCTCCTGGAGGAACCATGGAATAAGCACTCTGACAGGTCAAAGGACCAGCATACCAGTGCAGAACTCCTTGTTGGTATTTTGGGGTACGACGATCCTTCTGTAGACGATGGGCTCCGATTCCAGGATGTTTTCGTCGTGCCGGTAGCGAGCTGGCCTCTCGTTGGGGGTCCCTCTAGAGCGAGTGCCACCCCTCCTCTCGTAAGTGTCAATCTCTTCAAATACTGCGGCCTTATCAAACAGCGCCAAGTTCCCTTCAAAATCAAAATCCGTGTCTGGGATTTCCTCAATGTCATCTCCAAAACACTCATCGTCTTTACTCTTCATCTGCCCGTTCTTCAGGCCACTCTTCTTCGGAGTCACCTGGTTCGGGTGGCGGCTACTGGATGACCCTAAAAAAAAAAATGAAAGAGGCAGGTTGAAACCTGGCACACACATCCATTTAGATGCCTCCTTCTGTAAGATTATCTAAGTTGGGTGCTCAAGATACCGAATGATTAGCAGTTGTGCGTACTGTCAGGGGGTGCAGGCAGGCAGCACTGTCAGGGCACCTCCAAATCGCGCCGACCAGCTGCTCCCTCTTTACAGTGGGAAGCTGAGCAGTAGGCAAAACTCCACTAGGGACTAGGCAGAGGCTCCCATTCACAACACTGGGCAGCACCAAGACTTCCCATCACAAAAATGCCTCAGAACTCCCTGTGCTGGCAACTAGAGGCCTCTCTGAAAGCACTGCAGCCGCCAATATGGGGAATTTGGGTGTTCATCTCCAGTCTAATCAAAGGTTTCTGGCTCCACATGGCTCAGCTGGAGAGTTAGCAAGATCCAGTGGAAATGCTAAGGGTCAAGAAGGATCAGTAAGCTGCTGATGGGTGGGAAAAGTCACAACTTTTATCACAGTTTCCAGCAAGAGAAAGTGCAGTGACCCTCCATGTCAAAATTTCTACTGCACTCCTAGACTGTTACCCGACTGATTTGCAGCTAGAGTTCCAGGCCTGAAAAGAGGTTTGCACTAAGCCACTATCAATGGCCTGACATTTATTCATTGATATTTATTGCAAACGATTTGGGACATGAATATCTTTGCTTTAAAGCAAACTACCAGTGCTTTAAAGTAGGGATGTAAGCAACTAGTCGCTTCCACCCTGCCCGCTTGCTGCCTCTAGCAAGGGCGGGGGGGAAGAGGGAGGAATCAGCATCAAAGCCAGATCCCTCCAGCACAGTCTCCGTGGGGGAGACAGAGGTGCAGCAAGGGAGTGGTCATAGGCTGGGAATTAGCTGATTCCCGGCTTGTGCCCGGCCCCAGACGCTGTGCCTCTGCATCTTAAATGTAGTAAGCCAGGTGGCTCTTACTACATTTAAAGGCAGAGTCGCAGCAGGATTAGCTCCCAGGGACAGCACGAGCGGAGATAAGCAAGCAGCCCAGTTCCTACTACATTTAAACTGCAGAGCCACAGCAGAAGTAGTGAGCCCCCGCTCCCCTCCACTCCGATCGACTAATTGATAGAAATTCCATCAACTACTTGATTAGCTGATTATTCACATTTTAACATCCTTACTTTAAAGTTACAGACTAACACAACTACCCCTCGGACTTTTTGCCCATGCTCAACAATCATAATATTAGCCACAGCTACTGCCCCTTTGATGTACGCTATAGCCTTACAGAAACAAAAACCAAAATAATCAATTGATAGGGACAAGGGATTTCCAAGTTGCCAAAGACATGCTGAAATCACCAGTGCCAAGGTGTTACAGAGGTCAATCTGGACGGCAGCACTTTCTTCACAGGGAAGTACCAAACTCGGATCATACCCAGCTTTCTCATAGAGTCACCTGTTCATTTGAGGAAGCTAGTGGTAGCTTACTCCAGTATCATGTTCCCCTCTAGAGTCTGACCTGCTTTGGGAATCTCTTCCCATTCACAAGTAGCACTACAGCCACACTAACAAGGCTGAACAAGACTATGAGCTTTGGCATGAAGAAAAATTCACCTCCTGTGACATTTGGAAATAGTAGCTCACCAGAAGACAGAACTATTGCACGCCATCAAAACAAGCACACCACAGTGCCGTAATTAATGTTGACAGGGCTTGTACTTGCTAGTCTTTGTGGGTGAAGTCCATCCCTCAGACTGTAGGCTCCGTGAAAAGCTCTCTAAAAACTGTCACTCACAACTATTTTCTTCCATTGAGTCATGAAATTTATAGTTCTGCTGCATATGAATTTAAAATCCCCTCAGAGATTAGTCTTAACGTTCCCCACCCACAACATTAAAATCCTGACATAACGTGAGTGCAAGGGAGCTTTCCGGTAAGACTTACAACAACCACCCAAACCAGGAACTCCAGTCTGGTCTGTGTTGACACAAAGGATCCTGAGGCATTTTGAGAGAAGGGGTCTTAGTCCTGATTTTTCCGCCAACCTGTTTTCATCCTTGCATATTGTTATGCAGCACACCGTTGCTGAGGCTGGTTCTGCTTTCCAAAATTCGGTGGTCCTTTATGAACAACCATCACTGTAGCCTGTAAACTGTTGGTGTAGCCTTTGGGTCACTATAAAGATATGCATTATATTAACACTTGAAAACCCCATTAAAAAGTTGGCTATTACCCAACTGCACCTCAATTACTATGCACAACTAGCGGGGAATATGAGAGAAGCTCTGAATAACTATGATTCTCTTACAGAGGCAATACGCTTTAATAGAACTGGCAGAATTTTCAAGAGCTGTTGCAAAAGTACATGTCCTCAGATGTGTGTGTCTAGACAAGTTCTTTCTGTCTAAGGGTACGTCTAGACTACATCCCTCTTTCAACAGAGGGATGTAAATTAGGCACTTAGAAATTGCAAATGAAGACAGGATTTGAATTTCCTGTGCTTCATTTGCATAATCGCATCATGGCGCTCTTTTGAAAAAGCGTTATTTCGAAATCAAAATAGTAAGCCTCCAGGATTGATTGAAAAAGGCTTCTATTTTCAAAAGAAACGTGTCTAAACTGCAGTTTCAATTTTGAAATAGTGCTTTTTCGAAAGAGCGCCATGATGCAATTATGCAAATGAAGCACAGGAAATTCAAATCCCGGCTTCATCTGCAATTTCGAAGTGCCTAATTTACATCCCTCTGTCGAAAGAAGGATGTAGTCTAGACGTATCTTAAGAGACAAATTAGTCACCTAGGATCAAAATCTTTGTCAATCTCTACCTGACAAAGTCAATCTGCGGAAAGTTTGAATTCTCTTAAAGTGCATGCTGTACACTGGATCCCCTACACCCATCACAGAAATCCCTCTTCCCTACCACCGCACTAGCACTCCCTTTAGAAAGAACAGATTCCTGTTTAGCATAAGAAGACTTTGAAATTTTAGGTGAATTCTGCATTTGCATTAATTCACCATAGTTGTCCACTGCTATATTTACTCAGAAGCAGCTAAGACCATCAAGCCATTTTTAGCCAACCTAGCCAAGGAACAGAACCCACAAACACAATGGGCAAAGTTAATGCAGATCCTGCCATAGATAAGTACCTCAACCAGTTTAAAGGTTTAAGCTCGGATGGCTAATCCCAGCCTCCATACCAGGAAAGTAGGAGGCCATAAAGCAAACTATCCCCTTTCCCTTCCTGGCAACAGGCGTAACAGACAAAGTTCTACTGAGACAGGGGCCAGCCAGCTGAGCCTGTGACTTTGTTTTCCAAAGAAAACTGCCAAAGATTGCAAACAGAACTCACTGAATAACAAATCTGACTTATTCTGCATTTAAAGGTAATCTGTAAGCGGGAAGTGGTAGAAATCATTGGGTTTTACCCTTTGCTTATATAAACAGGCACACACCCTGCTACAGGGTCCTCTCTCGCTTGCTTTTTATTTTAGAAGTCTGTATGTTCCTCGTCTTTGTTGGAAGACTATAGACAACCTCCACTGAAAGGGAGGTTTACTCATGACGCTGTAGTCAGAAAGAGAGGAGGGGAGAGGACAAACCATGGGCCAGAGCAGACAAACAACCACATACAAAGGAATCCAATGCATCAGGGAAGGGCAGACAAATAAGCAGTGGCAAATTTTTAAAGTGCTTCTACACAAATGCTAGGAGTCTGACTAATAAGATGGGAGAACTAGAGTACCTCGTACTAAATGAGGAGATTGACATAATAGGCATCACTGAAACCTGGTGGAATGAGGAAAATCTGTGGGACACAATCATACCGGAATATAAAATATATAGAAAGGATAGAGCAGGCCGGGTGGATGGCGGAGTGGCACTGTATGTGAAAGATAATGTAGAATCAAACGAAATAAAAATATTAAGTGAATCAACATGTTCAATAGAATCGCTATGGATAGTAATTCCATGCTCCAATAAGAAGAAATTAGCAGTAGGGATATATTATCGACCACCTGACCAGGACAGCGATACTGACATTGAAATGCTAAGGGAGATTAGAGAGGCTACCAAAATAAAGAACTCTATAACAATGGGGGATTTTAATTACCCCCATATTGACTGGATACATGTCACCTCAGGAAGAGAAGCAGAGATAAAATTTCTCAATGGCTTAAATGACTGCTTCTTGGAGCAGCTAGTGCAGGAACCCACAAGGGGAGAGGCAATTCTCGATTTAGTCCTGAGTGGAGTGCAGGATCAGGTCCAGGAAATAACCGTTACAGGACCGCTTGGGAATAGTGACCATAATATAATAACATTCAACATTCCTGTGGTGGGAAGAACACCTCAGCAGTCCAGCACCCTGGCATTTAATTTCAAAAAGGGGAATTACACAAAAATGAGGAGGTTAGTTAAACAGAAATTAAAAGGCACAGTGACTAGAGCCAAATCCCTGAAAGCTGCATGGAAACTTTTTAAAGACACCATAATAGAGGCCCAACTTAAATGTATACCCCAAATTAAAAAACATAGCAAGAGACCTAAAAAAGAGTCACCGTGGCTTAACCACCATGTAAAAGAAGCAGTGAGGGACAAAAAGGTATCTTTTAAGAAGTGGAAGTCCAATCCTAGTGAGATAAATAGAAAGGAACATAAACACTGTCAAATCAAGTGTAAACATGTAATAAGAAAAGCAAAAAAAGATTTTGAGGAACAGCTAGCCAAAAACTCAAAAAGAAATAACAAAATGTTTAAGTACATTAGAAGCAGGAAGCCTGCTAAAAAACCTGAGGGTCCCCTACATGATCGAGCTATAAAAGGATCAATCAAGGACGATAAAGCCATTGCGGAGAAACTAAATGATTTCTTTGCTTCAGTCTTCACGAATGAGGATGTTGGGGAGATTCCTGAATCTGCACCGTCCTTTGTGGGTGATGAATCTGAGGAACTGTCCCGGATTGAAGTGTCATTAGAGGAGGTTTTAGAACAAATAGAAAAAC